CGGCCACCGTCACAGTTCCGTCCGGCGACCACTGGATCTGGTTCGCCTCTTCACGCGACGACCAACCCCACCGGTGCCGGCGTCTGACTCTTTCCCACGCTCCGCCACGCGCCGCTTCTTCTCCGTCAGATCTCGGGTGCGTGTTTGTCACGCACCGCCTTCCCAGCATCGGCATCAAACGGCGACGATGCCGGTTGTCTCGCCGGACCTCCCTCTCTCTGTTCAGACCTTCCAGAGCAGCCATTGCTGCCATCTTCGTCTGTTCTCAAAGCATCTTCATCTCGCCGCACGTTCCGCATCGTCGGACCTTGCTTTCTGCCTTGTGTGCTTCGTCTCAGCTGCTGATGCCGCTTCTGCATTGTGTGCTTCGTCTCAGCTGTTGATGCATGTCCCGTTTGCTGTTGTCCCGTTTGCCGCTGTCCAGCGCCGTTTGCCGCTGTCCAAGCACCGTATGCTTCCAACCACTGTAGACCTCCATCACCTCGTCAGTTAGTGATGGCAGTCCCTGTAGTTTTGTCACTTCCAGCCACTACAGGCCCCATCAGTCAGTGATGGTAATTTAGTCCCTACAGTTTTATAGCAGTCAACCGCCGCTGCAGTCGCTACCGCCTCAGACAGACGCAACTGCGTGTTCTTCTTGGACTAGAGTTTAGCCCGATCTTCTTGTGATACACGGCTAATTATCACCACTTGGGAGTTGTCCAGCAAAGAATCTTGGACCTCCAACATATCTTTGGATCTTTGATGCCTTTGTTTCAGCATTGTAGCTTAATATTTGGTTTTGTTTTAGTGGTCCAGCAACTGTGATATTCCACATTTCCACCCTTCACACTAAGGGGGAGTACGTTTCCAAGACACTGCAAGTCACATATATATGGGTGTAGTCCCTGCAGTTTTGTAGATTTCAGCTACTACTGTTGATCCCGTCACCCATCCATCATTAATGAGGATTTAGTGTAGTCCCTGCAGTTTTGTAGCTCTTAGCTTTCAGCTACTACCACTGTTGATCCCGTCACTCTTCCATCATTGATTGGGAATCAGTCCTTGCAGTTTATCATTGTCCACACGGCTCTCCTTCATCCACTTTTGAAGTTGAAGTTTCACAAGCTGCTGTTAGTCCATCTATGTTTGCCTCACACTCTTGAAGACAAATCATCTAGTTCAACACTGAGTTCATCTATTTCAAGCTTAGTTCATACAATTTGTATGCTCCAGCTTGAGGGGGAGTGTTAAATATATTATATCTTTTATCTTTTAGTTATTTTGTTATTATTTCTCATTTGTATTTTGGGCTTAGCCTATATTTCTTCTATTATAAATAGAGAACCCTATGTGTGTATTTTACACAAGGGAGATTAATCTAAATATAGTTTTTCACTATATTCAACAAAACCAATATAGATTATGTGAATATGAAGTTATTCATTGTCTAAGACATTGCATATAATTTTTATACTTAATCTCAAACTGAACATTAAAATTTATGTCACAAAACAACTATAAATTTCACAATACACCATTTTAAAATTATCCAAACTAAACCAAATAAATTTTCCATGATATAATATGATTTTTTTTAATATTTATAATGAATCATGTGTTATGTTGGATTTAAATGTATTTTTAGTAAAAAGTTATTCAAGTCTCACGGCGAATATATTATATAGAATGTCTCATAAGAGAATAAAAATATTATTCTCTTATTATTTCAAAAATAACTTTTTAAACAAAAATATTATTAACATGGAATGAATGTATTGCACTGAACTTCAATGGATTTGGCATGGGTGGGTTCAATTTTTTAATTTTAACAATCAATTCCTTATTTTTAAACTATAAACAAAAAAACATAATAATTAACTTAATTAATTACTAATATACTTATACATTTTCCATTTTTATTATCTGAAAAAAATTACAATAATTATTCGTTTAAACTTATTTTTACCATATGCTACTAATTTTTTTCTCGTCTTAAATTTTACAATAATTATACATGCAACGACTTCCTTCTTACCAACGGCATGCACAAGGCTTCAATTCATTAGGGATGTTCAGTAGGATGCTTAGAAGAAGACATTACAATTGATTTTATTTTCTTATATTCAATAATCCTATATTGTTTAGGTAGAGTCAAAATTAAAAATAATTTAAATATTTATTATTTCTTCAATATTTTGAGATGTTTTTATAAAAATAAAACCCTAAAGTAATTTGTTTTATGGACAAAGACAACAAACATCCATGCCTTAGAAAAACAATTTTTGTGTGATAAATAATAAATTCTAATAACATGAAATAAATATAATTGATGACTTTTGACATAATTGTCGTATTTTATGTTAACAATTATCAGATCCAAAAGTGACATAAACTAATAAAAATATATCAAGGAGCAAACATTTTTTTATAGTAAACTAAAAAAGAAAGTAAAAATATATTTGAGCCTAAATTTAATATATACTTTTATAGCTATTTATTTATTTTGTATTAAAATAATGTGTATAAAAAGTATACGTTTTATGAGAACATTTTTATGATATTTTAAAAAAAATAATAGTTAAACCATTCAACTTTTCGTTTATAAAAAAATATTTAATTTTATGCTTTAAAACGTTAATTGTAATTTTTGTTAAGTTTTAGTTTTAGATTATATGATATTTTTAAATAAAACAATAGAGGTGGGTCTTACATTGTGTGTGTATATATGTCATTTTATTTAAAATTAGAAAATTGTAAATTTCATTTAACATAAGGTGATTGCAATTTTCCATTAGATTGTATTACATTTTGGTGATTATGACTTCAATATTTAATATTCTCTTTCAATAACAATATTAAGTACCCTGTTCAATATTTTAAGCTGTAAGTGTTATAATTTATGTAAGACTTACCTCAATATTTTTTAATATCCTGTTTTGTAATTGCTTAAAATTTTTAATAACCATAACAATCAACTCGTGCATGTTATACATCTTATCATTGAGATTTTCACATGACAAAATAATGAAAGAAAAGAGGTACAAAAATAAGATGTCTTAAATTTTGGTCAACTATAATCTCTGTTTTTTGTCTTTATTACTCTGACATGAAAAACAAAATTCATGACAATTCACTTGCAATTGTATATCACATGCAGCTTTAGTCAAATTGCAACATATTTATTTTTGAAACGAATAAAACTAAGCAAAGGAAGTGTAGATTTTCCATTACACACTTCCATTCAACTTAATACAAATAGAAAGTGTAGATAGAAAAATGGAGTTAATGCAATGATAGGAGTGAACAAAATTACTCGTTCTTTTAACATCTGGTGTCAGGTTGTATATAAAATCAAACATTAAATAATAACTATCTAATCTACCTGGTCTTGCGTAACTTTTTCTTTCTTTTCTGAACAGCCTTGGGAACCTTAGTTTTACGTGCTTCTCTTTTCTCCTCTTTCACCTTCTTCTTATTATCTTTCCTAGCATCTTTTCTAGCAGCTTTTTTATCAGCAGGATCCACTGCTTCACTCTTGCCATCTTGGTCCGCGTCAGATTGAACCTTAGCATCATCCTCCAAGTTGTTAAATTTATCGTCAGAAATGATAGGAGAATCTTTTGTGGCACTTGATTTCTGCTGTTGGGTCTTTTGCTGTGAAGACTGAGTTAGTGACAGAGCATGTTTAAGCCCAGTAATGGTCAGGTAGTATAAATCATTAGTATCCTTCAAATTTGTTATCTGTTGTACATCTTCCTCAGCATTCTCAACATCATCAAGTGTCCTTGGAATGAAAGACTGTAACAAGAGTACAAGAATTTAAACATGTAAGAAAGAACAGAAAAGATTAACGTGTTGGTAAAAATCAAGCCCACACATTTATTGGAAAGAAAATAAGAAAGGGAATGGAGGGTTAAATAAGAATAAAGAATGAATTCGTACTTCCATCATATACTAACGAAGTAGTGGAGCACAAGTCCCACATTAGTGGGTTGGAAACAAGATTAAGGGTATATAAGAAAGAGGGTCACGACCCCAAAGTGTCAAGACATTTCTGTAAAAGCATATCCTTCAACAATAATTATATTTAGTCTCTTCACCCATGACCCGAGCATCTTAGTTTTTTCACCAAGCTTAGACAACCATTCAGATAAGGATAATAACTAAAAAATAAAGTTGCATAACAAGGCAAGTTACCTGCACAAATACGGAGTCTGCAATCTCATCCTCTACAGATACATCTCCTCTTGCCAAAATTTTTCGTTGCATCTAGAAATATTTCAAAAACCATTTAAGGTCTCTTTGAAGTTGGTCAATAATCATAAGTCATGATATAACAAAGCCAAATACCTCTTCCAAGTAACTATCCACAGCATCATCAGCTATTGTTGCGTCAACAATAAAATCAAACAGTTCTCTTATAGTCATGACCGCAACACCATGCTTTTTAAAGAAATCCTGCAGGCCAAAAAGCCACTCAATCACACCCTTCACATTCCCTCTTTGATTAAGGAAGTGGACAAGAAATCTATAATTACATCTAAGAATTGGAAATACTTACAGATACATGAACACAATCTTCACGCAGAAAATCTAGGGCATGGGGATGTTCATGTTCGACGGCTTGAGAAACATCAATAATATACAAGTGACCCTGACAAAAGAAAGAACATGTGAATTGACTATTGGCAGATTGACATTCAATCAATGAAATATAAACTGGAGAAAGGAATTGTTCACCTCATAATATAGTATATTATATTCACTCAGGTCTCCATGCACCAATTTGCATTTCTGATATAATGTCCGCATTGCAATAATAATCTGAAACAAGAAATACTCAAATCATTTCAACTCAAAGTGTTGGATTTTTGGAATAAACCCTAACACTCCTAGAAACCTAAAAGAGAAGAGTTTCTATTACAAAGGAGACCTAGAAGAGTGGCAGAAGTGTTTCTATTGGGAGTCTCTAAATGAAACTCCACTCCACAGACGATAAACTTTTTTAATAAATTAACCGTATCAGTCTGTTTTAAGAACCAAACTAGACAACAACAATGCTAGCAACACAGTCCTTTTAACAGACTATATTATTGGTTCAAATTTATTAGATAAAAACTAGGAAAACATGAATGATAATCACTAAATAAATGGAAGAGACAAATTCGTAATTAATCTCAACCCCAAATAGAATGCACTCAAAAGAGTGTTTTAAAAAGTGTCCTCTTCTAGACAAATAACCAAATTAGAAACCGTATACTATAGCATCCCAGCATCATAATGTTTAAGACACTCGTTAAAGGGTTCTAAGTACAAAAACCATGCTAGCATCAGAGGAATACTGCATTGATTGGACACACCTCAACATAGCCTTCCCGCAACTTGTCTGAAGATAAAGCAGCATCTTTAAGACGAGGGGCAGCCCAACCAGATTTTCCTTCAAAAAACAACAAAACCAGAGAATTTAAATAAAATTGTATTTGTATTTATTTTTTCTAACCTAAACTGTAGTCTGCATTAGAATCTGATGATATATGCGGTAGCAAGAAATCAAAATTTCTATGATCAATAACAATAATTTTTTTAGTGCTGAGGTAACTACAAGTGGTTATACCTTCAATACTAGTACAAAGAACCAAGTAAACTCTTCATCACACTTTTCATTCATTCTTCCTTTTTAAATTTTTTTATCAACAGTATACAATTATACACTGATATTCCATCTATTCAATGATAGAATAATAGACAATTGAGAGCAACAGATCACCTATAAACAACTAATAACATTGATCACAGTAACATCAGATTATATTCTTGAAATTCAGAACAAAAGTAATACCTATAAACTCCATAACCACAATATGTAGTCGCCGAAGATTACAAGATGTTGTAGGACACCTAATTCCTGCTGCCTTAAGCCTACAATCCAATATAAAAAGAGTAAAAGAAAGAAACAGTCCAAGTAAGCATGTAATCAAACTTTTGTTTCTCTTAGCTGGAAACAACCAACCGAAGAAACCCACAAGCACACAAAGAGGAGCCACTTCAACAGAAAAAGAGAAGGTAGTGCATGCTAACATTGATGCACAAAACATTGCCTCTTCAGTGCACATTAAAACCTGATAGACATAGTTCACAAAAAGAATTTTTACCTAAATAAATGACTACACATGTTCCTTGTAAGTACAAGCCATCATAGAATACATCTAAAGTCCATAGTACTTCAAATCATAACTTACAAATAAGAGGGTTAAGTAGCAATAACCCCAATGACGTATTCATTATCTCTTCAAGTATTCCTCCTTCCCTTGTTATCTTAACAGTCTAATTTACTACATTGTATTGTACTCCTTTTGATCTTGGATATAAGCAAAAGCAAAAAAAACTAATTCACACTGATTTAAAATGTTAGTAGCTTTGAATTATACTAAACTTATTTAAAAAATAACAATTGTTCCTAATTTACCCTTCCTTATAACTTGATATCAAGAATAAAAGAGTCATTGGAAGTAAACATTTCAATTAAATAAAGGAGCCTTTTAGAGAAAGTTTCGTTAAATAGAGTAAAATTAGTCGAGATTTGCGTATACTCAGAGGCTGGAAGAAGTACTTTGATTTTTACAAGAATTTTAGAATAAGAGAAAGAAGAACAAATGTGAACCTCATAAGATTCCTTATTTCTTTCTCAGCCCATTTTCGTGCCATCTCCCTTGGATTATGCTTGCCAAATCCATTACTATACCGGTAGTCTCCTTGCATATATCTACCTTTATCCCTGATATATAAGATCACAGAACACAGTTCATAAAATAAAATAACTTTGAATCAAGAAACTGTTTCAAGGAAATGTAGAAAGAAATATTACAAGCTGCATTTTTGCTGTGCATATCTAATGAATAAATTAAGAAAACATCCATCCTGAAAGTATCAATAATCCCTAGCTCAGAGCTTTCTATAATTCAACAATATATCATATAGGTAAACAGAGAGAATAGACAAAACAATACAAGTACACTTGAATATAAATTTTAGTTTTCTCTTTAAAAGAGAGAAAACAAAGGTATGATTGCCTATACAATTCCTTCTTAACGTTTCAGCCTTCAAGACAATTTACAGTAACAGAAGAAGCCGAAACAAGCTAATATATGCTATACTTACTTAAATTCCAAAACGGATGTTTTGTATATTTTTATTGCAAGTTCTTGACCATGAGATTTGGTTGCATGATAAACATTTGCCTGTTAGAAAACAACAACGTAAGAAACAGAAATATGTTGGCTTAAGATCAAATAATCAATTATCCAAACCATGTTACTATCATAGAACCTAAATCGTAAGATTGAGAGAGAGAAAAGGGAAATAAAAGCTCCAGGAACATCACGTACTTCCTTGCCGGTTGAAATGCATCCATTGATAGCATCAAAGACACCTTTGTTAAGCATCTTGTATAAAATCTTGCGAGTGTTTTGATCAATTGCCTGGAGGAAACTTTAGAGTTACTTGCATAATAATCGTAAAAAAGGAATCAACAAAAGAACAAAAGCTCAATTTAGGTGCCACATTTCATGAAATCACCATTTACTCACCTGTTCAACAGTTGCTCGATCTGCTTTATCTGTAGTTTTAGTCTTCCCAATGGCACTTTCTCTAACACTTCCACGAATTGCTGTGATCACAGAGTTAGACATGCCAACATTCATCCTCCCTTCCCACTCCTGCACCACGAACCACCTAATTTAAAACTACAACCAAACAAGCATACCTCACAGAATTCCAAAAAACACCATTCACCACACAACTTCAAATTCAAACTAGTCCATATTAAAGGAACACAAAAGAGCCAATAAAACAGAAGTAAAAAGACAAGATCATGCACCATGCTCACAATTTGAAAAAACAAATATTATCTTTAATAGATAACAAAATCTCCCCCTTAATGTTTCCAGTGGATAATCAAGAATGACACACATTAACAGGCACAAAAACTTCTGATGAACCCAACCATCGGTTAATTAATTCGCATGATATGAACAATCATAAAAAAAATGAAAAAAAAAATCCAAACTTCTTCAACGAACAGACGAATAAAAAAGTGACCGTTTTGATGTTTAGAACTTTCTCATTTGTACTCATGAAGGACTTAGTATGCAACTAACATTCACGCTTATATTTCCATGCAGGACTTAATATGGGACTTAGATTTATTCTTATATTTCCAACATGAATGAAAAGAAGTAAAAAGGTATGTAAGAAAACCTCCAAGGGTGAGGCTCGAATGCGGTGGAAGAACTTTTGGTTGCGATTGGTACGAGGTTGAAGAGTTGAGGAATAATGGCGGTGGCCACCGTGAGAATTGGGACGCCACAAATTGGGGGAAAATGAGTAGCCTACATCCTCATCCAACGAATCCAACAAGTCCAACGCATCACCGATTTCAGAATCCGAATAACTCGAAACCTCTTCATCTTCCTCTTCAATTTCATCTTGTTGATATTGTTGTTGTTCTGTGTGATTATTGATCTTCTTTTCGACGTCGTTTTCCATTAGTGAGTGTGTGACTTGCTAATCAAGCAAACGGCTTCCTGCAAGGTTCATTAACAATTATCATATATAGCCCACAATAAATCAGACAACTCTTTAATTTCCATATCTTGTATCAGTTTTTAGCATACCACCCTGTTCAATCTTTGCTTAACTAATTTGTTTAACTGCCTAACATATCATATTACAATCTTGTCCAGACGGAACCTTCCAACCTTCATTAAGCATGCACAGACCCAGTAATAATGATGCACAGAAGTCATATACTTTCACACTATCAGTTGTCTACATTAAAGAGACCTACTCCAACCTTCAACCACCGAGAAAGCTGGCCCTGCTACTCTAGTTCTGGTTTTAATATTATTACATGCATAACAGACCAACACAATCGCAAAGATAACCAGATAACCAGAAAACCAACGTTTTCCAGGAATTCTTTGTTATAAACTTGATACATTTAGACAGCAATTAGACAGACCACGTTCAGCATATATTCAGAAAACCCACCATCAGTATATTCTCAAAAATTACCCTCCATCACACAATAACTCACAGTAACTCAATCCCACCACATTCCAAGTCTTCCAAACATCCGAAACCCTAACCATACTACTCAGAACACCCCAATGCATGGCACGCAGGGTATTTAGGGACATACTAATTTCAAGCAGCAACTAAGTCAGACATTGTAACTGTCAACACCTAATTTCGTCCGGGTAAGTAAATATTTAGAAATAGTAAAAAATAAGATAATAATAATTAATGATGGATAAAAAGGATAAAATAATGACTTTAATACAATATTTTTGAAATGTTAGTTTAATATGGTAATAATTTGAATTAATATTATGCTAATAATTATGAACAATCAATTAAAATAGTATATTAACATAATTTGTTGCATCAGTAAATTATGATTTTCTGATAATAATGATAATCAAAGTTTTGAATATTATTTAATTTATATATTGTCATTTAATTTACCATTAAAGCAATTCTTTTCCTATTTTGTTTTATTATCATTTAATTCACAATTAAGGCAAGATTTCCATAATATTACAATGTGTGTATATAAATACGCACTGTGTCATGGAGTAAAAAAAGGAGATGAGAAAAATATTTTGAAATAATAGAGATAGCAAGAGTATTGAAGAATATTGAGAAAAGTAAGTTCTCAGTTTAGAGGAACTCTGCCAAAAGAGATTACCAAGCGAGAACTACGAGAACTGGGGATTCCTGAAAGCTAAAAAGGTATGTCCCCTCTGCACCATTCTGTTTTCTCTTTTTATTTGTACTTTGAAGTTTTTTTTTCTAAAGGTACGTTTTTTCCTATACACAAATAATATTTTTTTTAAATCATAATTTTTATATAAGTATGTGTTGGCCTATGACTGGTTTCTTTCTTTTTCCCACCATTTTTAAATAAATAAAAAATATTCAAAACCAAAAAAGATGTCAATCTTGTTTAAACCAAATCTTTTTCGAATTCATTTTTTTCAAAAAACTCTAAATCAATCAATAATAATTTTTTTAACAAACTTTAAATGGATGTACGTAGGACCAAGGTCAATTCTTGTCGGGTTCATAAAACAAAAAAATATTTTTTGTTTCTTAATAGTTTTTATTTTATTTTATTTTATTTTATTATTTTGTTTAGGGAAAAATTAACATTTTGCAAAACCACGTCAACTTTATATATTTAATTAAAGGTACTGCCTTTGGGCATGCGCGATAGGTGCTAACACCTTCCTTACGCGTAAGCGATCCCCGAACCTGAAAATCTCTTTTCGTAGACCATGTCTTATTTTTTGGTTTTCCATAGTTTTTCCATATAAATTATGATGGCGACTCCACAAATTTATTTTCTCAAACTCGTTTGTTTTTCGGCTCGCTGTCCCGTCGCGATCCCGGTTGCGACAGTAACCATTAACCTCTCATCAGTATAATTCATACAGAGTACTAGTGCAATCAAACATGCATACATCAAACAAAACTTAACAAGACAGTTGTTAATTAAACACACACAATGGCAACACAATACGATTCTTAAATTTCATCAGAAACAGCCACGAGCACATTAACATTGACTCTTTCACAATCAAGACATCCAAATACCATCAAACATAAAGCTCAATTGAAGGATTTTCATTATGAATCACACATTCAACTTTATTTAACCTTTTTTATAGAAACAGCATTCACACACAGTTAATCCATATTCTCATATGCATACTTATATTTTATTAACTTACAGAATTGTGGTTGATTTTAGTTGTAAACAATATTGGTCAACGTCAGTTGAGAAAAAAGCTGTCAATGCCAATTAAAAAACCTTGATTAACATTCATTGAAAAATAATCCCAACCAAGATCAACTAAAAAGAAATAATTCATATTGATATTTTTGAAATACTAACAATTGTTTGATGTTTACATAATTCCTTGCATTTGAATTGTCTTATCCAGAAAAGACATTTGAAAAATGAAACAATTTGAAATGAGATAAATTCAAATCGAATGTATTTAAATGTCTTAGAAATTATGAAATTCCCAAACCCAAGGTCAATATTTAAACTGAGAATTCTTTTTTCACATAAAACTCCCCGAAATTTGTATATTTTCAATCTTAAATGTTGAAGTGCCTTATACCATCTCTTCCCTGCATAGAACTTTCTATCACTTATCTCATTTTTGGTTGCCTCACAAGGGTATGCTTCTTTAAAAAACATAAGGTGCATGGCAAGATTATCAAAATCCAGTTAATTTAGCCATTGCTCATAGTAGTTGCAAGATTTTCAAACAAAAATGTATTCGGTAAAAGTCCAGTTGAAATATTATTTTACCCAATTTTAAAACACTTTAACATTCATTTTCAAAATCAAGAAATACTTTTTTATAAATTTAGTATAGTTTTAGGAAAATCATATTATCGTTACCTTTGTTTATTATAACCTTAGTGTTGTCATGGCATCATTACGACCATTTTCACTGCTGACCAATACATGGAAAGATGTATAAAAGAGAAAGGAAAAACAGATACAAAAAATATAGAAGACCAAACCGAAGTCATGTAAAAGAAAACAACAACCCTCCCAAAGAAAAAAGCTATAGAAATCTAAAGTCTGAGAGTTGACACCTGGTACAAAAAAAATCTAAACTAATGATACAAAATAAAAAATCAAACCAAGTAAAGTCTAATCTATTTTCAGTCCCAATGTTAGCAAGACTGTCAACACAGCAAACAGTTGTATAGGATGGCTTGTGTGACTTATATTTACCAATATTAATTTGTATGAACTCCATAAATATAACTAGAGCTAAAATTACTCTTAATCCGATATGCAACAAATCTGAACACTAGAAGCTAATGGATGCTCATAAGTTATATCTTATAGATCACTTCCAACTCAAAGTTCTTCTTCTCTCTTTATCAATAACTCTAGGTTAGAAAATCTACTCTTATCTAAAAAAAGCAAATAAAATCATATCTTCTAAGACCATTAAAGCTACCACAAAATCCAAAAAAAATAAACTGTTACGCATACCCGTGCAAATAAAAATATTCTTTCTAAGATGCTTCGACGACTGTGATAGAGCCTCCAGACACTTCGGCGACGGAATTCGACTGCGGCGACGCTTTCGACTGCGGCGAATCTTGAACAATAAGGAACCTTTGACGATTGTGAGAAAGGAACGTAACTAGACATGAAAATTTGGATTGCAAATGACACCAAATCTAAACCTAAACCAGAGTTAACTGTAAAAAAAAATAAAACAAAAAATAAAAATATATTTAAACTGAATTATTAAATAATATAATTAGGTTTTAGTAAGAATAGTTTAAATTTTTTAAATAAAAAAATATAGATAAATTATAGTTTAAGATTTTTAAATAAAGTGTTTCAGAGCCACGTCAGCTTTTACATATATTACCTATACGTTACTAAAATATACTAATAAAAAATAACTTTTTACAACAATATTTTTACACTAAGTCATGTTTATCGATTCGTTTGAACTTATTTTTTATTTTAAAAAATAATTCAATCACAATCTAAATGTTGTAAAAAAGTTTTAAAAGAAATTGTTAAAATACATTTTTCTAAAAGAAAAATATTAAAAAAACATTTTCCGTAACATAAACACTACTCTCTCTTCATCAATGTCGTAACCACTTTAAAACAGCCACTCCATTTCAAGCCATAATGTAAGAATTAAAACTTCTTCCTCTGCTTGCTGCACCGGCACTCCAAAAACAAAGTATACCTATATAATCGCACGAGAGGGCTAAAGAAACCCAAAAGTATTTCTCTTACAAGTTCCTACTCCTGAACGTGAAAGTTTATTCCCATGCAACAAAATTAAACCATACCTTTGCTATTCAAAACTCAAGACCTACCCTCGTTCTTTCCTTTACTTCTTTTCTTTCCTTCTAAACAAACCATAAACCCACTTCTAATGCTACTCTCCTGCACTTCTTCTCATTTAAAATCACATATTTATTCACCAACCCTTTCCTCCACCTCTAACACTCACTTTTCCAATTCTCACTCTACTTCTTTATTCTTACGTAACACTCACACACTTTCCGTGCATAAAATCTTAATACCACAGCCTTCTCACTACCCTTTATCCTCAGTATTCACGTAAACACAGCTTCCCCTTATGCTTCAATCACGTATAACATCCACACTCATTCTTCTATAAATACCCTCTAATCACTTCTAAACTCAAACCCCGCTGCACCTCACCATCCTGTCTACACTCTACTCCCTTATTTTCTTATTCTACTTCCTCTAACACACACCCTAACCTTCCTTCCAGCTTACCCCATCACAATCTTTCTCTCCCACTCCTCGCTCCCGTCACCCAACTTATACCCAAAAGGGAGGCTAATGGTGTCAGTCTCTCCCAAGGTGGTGCCCCAACACTCATCCAACCCACCAAGACTCGAGAGTTCCCCCTTCCTCAGCCCCGAACACGCTCATTGTGACACCCGGGCACTGATAAGAGGGCGGGGAGTGAC